ACTTTTTTTATCAAAATAGATGTAGTCAAAGATGTGCATCACCATTCACATCTAGTTGATCACCATTTGCCCGAATAAAGTCATTGCTGACTGACCAGAGGGGTGGCTTTACTCAAAATTCCTGTTATATGGCAAGGTCAATTAGTGTCCTGGCAGCTTCATTATCAACCAAGAATGCCACTTCTCACCTGTGTACTAAACACAAACCAACAATCGCCAAGTTCTCAAAGAGCTGAGCTGACTACTAACCCATTTGATGCAAGCTGATTGTTGTGCTCCAATTTCATTTCACACCTGACTTAGGCACCATTAGGTTTCTAGAGCTGGAGTGGTTGTAGACAAAGCTTACCAAGGACTCTCCTGTATCTGCTGAACAGTCAGGCAAAATCAATAGATTCACCTATGCAACTCACATTAAATGGTCTTCCCCTTCCAGAGAGATATCTGGGTGGAAGCATCAATGCCATCTGCTGTAGCACAAACATCATGGGAGGTCCTGCCCACTCAGTGATGTAGTAGGTGTGTTCAGGTACCCACATTAGATCTCTGCCACTAGGACACAGAATGAGCTGCAAAATGCAGCCCATACATTGGGTATACATGTCACCACGTCTTTCCAAGACTCATGGTGGTACTCCCATTGGGAGATTTCATTTACAATTACAATGTGCATATAACTGTTACATAGATAGTTTTAGCATGAGGATGAAACCAGAGAGGGATAGTGGAGGATTGCATTTACATGTGCAATGAGTATATACCTGTCACATTAATAACTTTAGCACTAGGATGAGACTGAAGAAGGGGGTGTAATAACACATCATTTTTCTAACAATACCAACTTCTTTGAAATAAAAGTGTTATTCATAAGTACACTGAATGTCACAAGAAAGATGTGCATTTGGCAAGATAGATCATGTCACCCTTGTATATTTTTAGAAATTAAATGTAATATAATACATTTTTCTGTTTAGTTTGATTATATATACATGTATATTCAGCACATTCTTTTGGTTTCATACATGGATTTATTTTTATTACTGGACACTAGTCTCAGTGGTTAGAAAGAAAAATGTAGTGGTTGTGAGGTAATCAAAGGATAAACCTAGCACACAGTTACCTGATCTCTTCAACAAAGACCTGGTATGCACAAAGGCAGGTGTAGTGATTTCTTGTAGGTGGAATGAAAATGACAAGATTCAGTATGAAGTTGAAGGAAAAATATATATACACATTTGTAGCTCAAGAAAAACTAAAAGTTAAAGGCTGATTGTCAAAGTATGGACTATTGAATTGTGGTGCAAAATAAGTGAAGAAAATAGATGAAAACTGAATTACAATAAAAAGATAAAATTAAACTGCAATTAAGAGTGAAGTAAGGATGACTCACACAATTATCAAAAGTAATGTTAAAAGGTTAATATAAAGGCAAAGATTTAAGTAGTCTCAGCTCTTTCTGCACAAAGAGGAATCTGCCTGAAAATGCCAAAACTTCATTTAAAATTTATCCTTTCTTTAGCTGACCAATCAGAAAACTGGATCTCAAGAATTTGGAACTATCTGTGCTGAGACTGTCAAAAAGCTGTCCACTATGCACAAGATAAAGTGAGATACAATACAACTATCCCATAAAACTGTAGACAGCTTCCATGATCAGACTGTACAAAAGAAACAAAAAAACCTCTAGCTAAGTTTGCACGTGACCTTGACCTTTGAAAATTTTTATGTGGAAATGCAATATATACTAGAGTAAGATTTGTAATACTTGCATTACGCAGTTGTTCAAGTCCAGATTAATACAGATTAGAGCAAGCTATTTAAATGGCTTATTATTTTATCCTTCATCAATTTTCAAAAAGAAACTGGTGACATTTGACATTAAGATAGCTTCAAGTGTGAGAAACATGATTCTTCATAATTTTAGTATATTATGGAACCTAGACAATTTTGATGAGATTAAATTTGTTGAGATATTTTTTACTCAATCTCTTTCAGCTCACACAGCGAGTGACCTGAGGTTTATATTATTTAAAGAAATTATAATTCATCCTGCTAGTCAGAGTTTATTTAGTTTTATATTTAACTTTACATTGTTTTATGCTCATGGAAAGATTCTTAATTTCTTTACACTTTCGCAGATCCATTTTCATTAATAATTTCTATAAAGTAAGCTAACTGTAGAGATTAGAACTAATTTGTAACCTACAAATTAATGAAGTCAATTCTATAAAACAAACTAACAGGTAGTACATTATCACAAATTAACACACACAAACTAAAATTTATCATCAAAATGCATTAAATCATCACTGAATAACTTTGTTATTGTACAAAATTTTCAAGAACACGTATAAAATAACTAACAAAGTTTCTTTGTAGGAATGAATATAATATAATTTCATTTTCAAAGTGTTTTAGGTAAATCTATACTATTAATAAGATTATTATGGACAAAGACTCCAGAATTATTATCATGCCTAAGTTGTCATGCAATTACTGTCTATTTCAGAGAAACAAGCATAAATGTTTCCTTATACAAAGTAAATTACCACTTGAATATCTAATTCTTAGTTTTTCACTTTATCAATTATTAAACACAGAATTAAGCAATACGTTTGCAAATTTTACAAGCCAATTGGCACAACTCATGTTCCTGCATGTTAATTGTGGTTATATTACAACAGATAATATATTGTTGTTAACCACAAAACTGCACAGTAGGATAGCTGCACTGTACCCAAAATTCTAATGTTATAAGCCCTCACATTTACAGCTGAACTTACCAAGAAGGATTAGAAAGTATTCATAAACACAGAACAGGCATAAAAAAATGTAGATTAAACTAATAGAAAGAAAACAATTTTTCTTGCAATTCTTCTGTGGCAAATAAATAAATCTGATGCTGGACTGCAACTACTAAAACACACAATATTAAATCTTCTTTTGATGATTTAGTAAAAAAAAAATCAGTGGTTAGACAGTTTTTACAAATTACATACTTTCTGTTTCAAAAGAGCCCATTGTGTACCAAAACCAAAAATATAGTTCAATCAGAATACTCTTGTTATAAACAGCTTCATAGTTTTATTGGCATGTATTTTGTAAAATGATAAAATAATATACTCTCTATTTGAAAAAAAATCTTTATTTTAAATCAAGAAGACACATCTGAAGCTACAATAAGAAAACTAATAATAAAAGAGACTTAGTTTTGAGACTTACAAAACAACTTGTTTCATTGAACCTCTTCTTTTCTCATGTCTCATTACATTTAGCTTAATTATCTACATTCGTTATTTTTGCTTCATTTAACAAAAATTTAGAATAAAGAACTAATGAATAGGAATAACATATTAATACACATATTAATTCTGCTTTCTTTTAATATTATCTACTCTAAACATTCATAAAATACATTTCATGCTTTTAGATTCAAATTTTCCCCAAGTAATCTATATATTTTGTTTACCATATTTTGTATTTATGGCAAACCTATGGCTATATGCCATCGTCCCTAATTCTGAACTACTGACCAAAGGGAATGCAGCCATTCACCAGCACTGTACCATCCACAATAATCTAATGCTGGCATAAAATAAAAATTCTAAGAGATTATGATTAGAAATAATAACAGTAAAACAAATAGTTTCTCTTTTAATTGAAAATATATTTTTATTTAATAAAGACAATAATTTTTACTGTTTATGTTAATTATTACAGAATATGATTAATACCTGACTAATCCAAACGTAAAGAGTTGGCAGACATTTGCTCAACACAATATTCATGCTTTATTACATTGTGATAATAAATATTTCCATCACCAGAAAAATACCAATGATATACATTAAACTAGAGAACACAATAAGAATGAACTTGTGTTCATAGTTGTGGGGTGTGTAGAATTTATGTTAAATGTTTCAATTTCAAAATCTTTAGTCAATTTGAAATCAACTTTTATTTCAAGAGTAGAGTATGTACACCTTTGACATATACCAAAGTGAAAATTCAAATAAAAGGTGCAAAAATATTTGAAGCACTGAAATTTATAATGATTTATTATATATCTTATTTAAATTTCCACAGAAACAAACTATGCATGAATATTCTGTTTGGCATATAAATGAGATATATATTAGATAATTTACACATTTTGTACATCACTTGGTAACAAAGATTAAATAATTACAGAAAATTGTTATTAATTTCTATTAAGCATATCCTGCTTCTAGTCAACTTTAAATACCTTGCACATTTTACATAAATTTAACAATATAGACAAAACACAAAAGATTTTCTGTTTATCTAAAAATCACAAAACATCTTCTAATATTAGTACAAAACTTTATATGAGATGTGTTTTTGATGGAGGCTTTGGCCTGTAAGATAACAGTTATGATCTTCAGTCACAGATTTATTCAAGACTTTTCATGAATGTCTTCAATATACGATGATATCTGGTTAGTTTTGATAAATACCACTGAACAAAAGCATCATCACACTCCAAAACAGACAGAAAAGAAAAGAAGAAATGCTGGATACAATAGTGGTGATATTTTGTTCTACAGTACCTTCATACTCACACTCCAAAATAAATCGACAAACACAAATTATTGGAGAACACTACTGTTCTGTAGTTCTTGCACTTACCAAATTCCAAAACAACCAGAAAGGAAATACACATAAGCATAAAAACAATGAATGCAACAATAACAGCAGTTTTTGCTCTTTTGTTATTGCAACACACCTGAAAAGATAGAAATGTGCTTAAACAAAATACTGGATACAACAGTAATGTTCTTATCCAAGCATCACACTCCAGAATACAGAGAAAAGAAATAGACATAGAGGAGAAATATGGGGTACAGTAGTAATGGTCTTTTGTTCTGTAGTTCTTGCACACATAGAAGAGAGCCTGCACTGTATGTGGCCCATACTACTCCCATTAACTGAAATAAAACAAAAAAGAATTCAACTTTATGAGTATTATATCTAGTACAATAATTAATTCTTCAGTTCCAGTGATTATGGGTATAACTGTTAATTCCAAAAACATGATTTGTACAATAAGCTATGGTAAGAAACAATAGTCCAGGCTGCTCTATAAACTGTGCAATGTTTCTTTTCTGTTTCAGTGTTTAACAAAGGAAATTCTGTCTTCAAATCTGAAATAATTAACTTTTAAAAATAAAAAGCATATTAATTTGATGACGAGGAACCCACTTTGAGACTAATAATGGCTGGAGACGGCTTGAATGGGTAATGAAGAAAAACTTTAATATAACAGCAAATTTACAACGTTTCGACAAGGTTTTGTCATCATCAGGTACCTCCAGCCATTATTAAAAAAGCATATTAACTATTATATGAATAATAACTTCCTGAGATATTACACTGTATGTTCTAGATTAAAGTTAGTATAGCATATGACACTGACAGCAAGGAAAAATACAATGAAACACAAAGATAATACTTCAGACATTGATAAATCTACTGCATGCCAAAGCTAATATTCTGACTGAATGTTCAAGAGTAAAACCTGTCTGCGACTGCATCTGTCTTTAGCAAGATCTGTTATTTGTTGAAATCCTTTTTTCTTTTCATTTTTTGTTTATTAATCCTTTCAGTGAAATTGGGAAAATTATACAACTTTTCTAGTGATGCAGCAATCTTTATCTTTAATCGACAGTCTTGTATTGTTTGTAATTAAGCACAAAGCTACACAATGGGCTATCTGTGCTCTACCCACTACAGGTATCGAAACCTGGATTCTAGCGTTGTAAGTCTGCAGACATGCCACTGGGGGATGGGGGCGACAGTCTTGTAAAGAAAGAATATAAGAACAATAACTTAAGTTTTCCTCATTAGAAATAATTAGTTTGTCAACAGTGGAAAAAAAATAAATGATAACACATAGACCCCTATTCATAGTTTTCATTATCAATATTTGTCATTCAACTCTTTCATCATATCTGGCAGTAATTATGGATGATTTTATTTCCTAATTTCTAAGCAATGTTATTGAACTCTGGAGAACAGTTCTAAAGTGAGAAAAATATTAAATATTACACTCAAACTAAACTGAAAGTGATGCAGGACATCATGTCAATGTATTCTCAGTCTCACACAGAGCTGTTGATTTATAGAAGGAACATGAATTTTTGAACAATACAATAAATTGACAGAGGGTTGTTGACGTGTACCAAGAGTAACCTAACAGTTATGCAAGGAAGAAGGACAATTTGTACCAAGATTTGTATATAGCTATTCAATGTACCATGATGCAAGGAGGTCAAAGTATTCTTCGGCTCAGTTACATGTATTAGATGTAACCCAATAGTGAAACTAGCACATTTGTCAGAAGCATTTTCATGCATAGAGGTTATGAAATTTAGTCCACTTTTGAAAAAATAAGTTTAAAAAATTCACAAAAGTTACCATACTAATCAGATTATTTACAAAAGCTTCTAGTATTACAACAAAGTTTGAGAAATTTTTGTCAGCCATTTTTAACAGTATAGTGATCAACACATATCTAGGACTCAAAAACCTTAAAAAAGAATTAATTACAATATTGTTTTAAAAATTTCTATTTTATTAATTTGTTACAGATTTTGCAAGACTGATGTTTTGCAAAACCATCTGTACCCTAATTCCTATGATATCAATGTGATGCACAGCTGCTAGAGTGAACTTTTGTACAAAAAAAATTTTTTTAGTAATTAAAATGTTTCAAAACTAAATATCACAAAATACAGCATTATAAAAGGCTTTTTCTGTTCAAAATAAGTTAAGACTAAAATTCTCAGTGTAAATATACAACTTTAATATCCAGTATATTGATAACAATCCAACAGCTTGATAAAGGTCAAATTCCCAATTTTTCACCCAAGGGGTTATATTTGGCACTTCTCAGAGCTTCCCAAGTAATTATGAGAAGAAGAATACTTATCTTTTATTCACAGGTTTAGAAACTAATAAACAATACCTTTTCTGCCATTTCATATTGTTAAGCCTAATTTGACAAATGACTGTTCAATTAAAATAAAATTAGAAATTGTTTTTGACTGCATTCAGGCCTACTAGTTAATTTTTGATTAAATATAGCTGTGAGAAAACCTTACAAAATTTTCTCTCTGAAAATCTCCACCCTATTATTAACTTAGATTATCTAGCCTCAAAAGTTTTGTCCAAGAAATGCATCTTTCAGTAGGTTTTCTACATTGGTTTACATTCTCAATGGTCTTCACTATAATTTGCCACTTTTAGCTCATCACTATCAGTTTGAACTAATGGTAAAAATAATATTTACAAAATGTTTATTAAGGAAACTTGTTTGTTGAAGATTACGAAAGTAAGATAAAATACCAATAATTATTGATATTTTAATGATTCATTTCTATCCTGCAGCTTATAAAACACATTTTTCTAGGCTATAAAAGTTTGGAGACAGCTTGACCAAGCAATGAAGAAACTTTATTATAAATGTACAACGTTTCTGCAAGATTCTATCATCCTCAGGTACAAAAGAGGATGCACCTGAAGATGACATAATCTTGCATAAGCGTCATACATTTATAATAAAGTTTTCTTCATTACCCAGTCAAGCCATCTCCAAACTTTTATTTCTATAAAGTGATTTCCTCGTCATTAAACTTAAAATAAAATTTTTCTAGGCTATTTAGTTCAGCACCAAACTGCTTTTGAGTCAATAACCTTGGTGATTACAGAACAAAGACATTAATTTTGGGCCTTAGCTTATAAATGAGGAGACTCTGTTCATCACTTGCCCTGGCCCAGATCTTAAACAAATCAGAATGGATGAGAATGTCACATTTGCCTAGAGCATGTACAAGTCTATTAGACTTAACTGATAAACTTAACTTAGCATGTTTTAATTTTCTTTTGGTAGAACCAATGTAACCCTGCTAATAGCATGAATAAGTAAATTTGTAAACAAAAAAATTATTATAAAGTTGTAATTTGGTCCTTAAACTTAAGGAAAAAAACTAAGGAGACAATTAGGTTTGAAAACATACCTCAGCTGATTCTTAATAATTAAAGAGTATTTACTCATATAGGGTAGACTAATAACCAAAAGATATTTAGGCATATGTATAATACATCAACACTTTACTTATTTAAATAATGAAGTATTCTATTGATAACATTAGCAAATGTGACATTCCCCACCATTCTAATTTTTGTAAGATTTTGGCCACGTCCAATGATTAGAGCTTCCAAATAAAAGAGAGTTTGCTCATTTATAAGCTGAGACCAAAAATTAATGTTCTTTGTTTTTCAAGTACTTCACTGTTGAAGCTGTGAAAATTTAGGGTACAGCACTTTGTTGGTTACAGAGTTTCTAATAACAAAAATATCATCAATATTGCAGTTAATCACACTAATTACTGTTGGGGTTTCTTATGTATTTATTTTACATAGAAAATGAGTGAACTTACTAAACCTCTTTTGTTAAATGATTTCACTTAGTGTTGTAGCAGAAAAACATTATATAATACAATATGATGCAATATGTAGCCCCCACTGGAAGTAAACAATATAAAAACAAGTCATTAACTTAAGGGCTATATAGAACTTACCTTTACAAATAGACTAATGAATGGAAAAGGATTTAAAAGTGGTAAAGTGGTTGCTGTCATAATCAAAGGCAAAACAGAATAACCAATTACTCCAAGGCACTGAGAATAGTTTACCTAACATGGTAAAATACAACATCATTCAGAATATGTCAACAGTAAACTATAGTACTTAACATCAACATTATTCAAGTAAAACTACTAAAATATTACTTGATGTTATTGTATTTGTAACAAATATTTGTATTATTTTAAAACATTTATGCCATGTAGGTACAAAAGATCAGGATTCGTCACAGCTTAATTATTTTTTTTATTATCTTTGAGAACAAATTACAAGTTTCAAGAAATGATCTTCTGGAAGACTTGGAATTATGAGAAATAGCACATTATTACAAGACAAAGTGTACTTCACAGAAAAGGGGGGAAAAAACATGTTAACAAAAACAAATTAAAAAAAAATAAACAATGAAATTAACAGAAAACATTTATTGATGAACCTTAATCAAATATGCAGTTATCACTAACCAATGAGTTGAGTATTTGTACAATTATACTAGTAAAACAAAACATGAAATATTCATAGTTAAACTTTTTTTATTAATGATTCACTTACATTATTAGCAACCAAAAAAATGGAACAAATATAGTTTTACTCTGAGATTATTCAGAGAGTTCTTTGTAGTTACAAATCAATTACCATTCTCTTAAACAATAGTAAATTATGTAAAGCCTGTCCTACCTCTCCACCCAAGACTCTAGCAAGAAGGAAAACAAGAAGGGACCCACAAACCCAGAGAGTCATAATCCATGATACTACCTAAAAGAGAAAAAATATGACCAAAAAGATTTATTGATTTCTAAGGTTAAACAAATATGACCAAAAAGATTTATAGATTTCTAAGGTTAAACAAATATGCACAGATCACTTTGAATGATCCTTAAAGCCACTTTATATGATATGCAGATTACACAAAACTTTAGAAGAAGGAACCAACTTTGATATGTTATATACTAAATTGGACCATAATATTATTATTTTTACATAACATACACACTCTATGATATTAATTGTCCAACAGCATTTTTTCAAAATGCTGTCTTCTAGCCTACCCAATCAATGTATACTATTCAAAGACATGCTTTCATACTAGAGCTGCAACAGTGGACTTGCTTTGTCCTATCCCAGCCAGTCAAGGTACACTGTCAAAGACATGCTTTCATACTGGAGCTGCAACAGTGGACTTGCTTTGTCCTATCCCAGCCAGTCAAGGTACACTGTCAAAGACATGCTTTCATACTGGAGCTGCAACAGTGGACTTGCTTTATCCTATTCTAACCAGTCAAGGTATACTGTCCAAAGACATGCTTTCATATTGTGTCTGCAATAGTGGACTTGCTGTCTTCTAGCCTAACTAAATAAGGTACACTGACCAATGACATGCTTTCGTGTTGTGGCTGCAACAGTCAACTTGTTTTGTATATTCTACCCAGTCAAAGTATACCGTCCAAAGACATGCTTTCACACTGGAGTTGCAACAGTGGACTTGCTGTCTTCTAATCTACCCAATCAAGGTATGATATTTAATGCTCTGGATACAAGTGGGAGGGAGAGTCAAAGTTACATCCAAAATTTAATTAGACTATTTTATTTCGAATGTATATGATTAAGCTTGGCATCAAAACATAGTTAATGAATCAAATGTTAATACTATATAAACTTTAAAAAGTTCTTACTTTTATAAGAAAATATTTTCAAAAATCCTCAATCTCTTCTGATATGAGAATTGTGATATTTGTTTTCTAGGTCTTTCCTCTTTTCCAATTTATTTACTACCCCTCTCTAAAGTACACACTTTAACATAAATTACTCATTATAATAAAGATGTTACTAAGGCAAAGCTAATTTTTATACCATTCAATCTTATTTGTTTATGGAGTCATAAACTAAAAAATTAACCCACCTGTCACGTCCTCTCTTTCATAAATTGCTAATAGTTCTCTCTAATGTTTTATACTATACCATTCATAATCAATAGAAAGGCAACATTTTAATCTATTGAATGATGTACAACTCTAAGTTGTTTTCATTACAGAGTACTGTCAATTTCATCTTCATTTATCTCATGGTGTTCAGATTGAGCAGCAAAGGAAATTAATTTAAGTCTCTCTTGTCCTAGTTAAAAAGCCAGTTAAATTATAATTGTTATAGAACATTGTTTTCCTTGTGTGTGTTATTATTCTGTGTTCTTAGGTGCAGTATTTAAGTAACTAAAAATTATTTAGTGTACTAGTACCACCATTATAGAAAAAGTAGACTTAAACTTCATCAGCAACAAACAGCAAAAACAAGAGATCAAACATAAGTACTATATTTCTTGTTTTTCACATATTCTTTATTAAGGTTATAAATGTAAATAAAATGTAAAAATTAGAAACTTATTGAGTTAAATAATGTTAGATTAGGTAAGATAATGAAAAATAATAATAATAATAATTCTTTATGAGGCATGTTTGGGAGCAGCTCATGCATTATGTCATTCAATATGGTAACATGAGTTATGTATGGTGAGATTATTAGTTTGACATGGTTCAAAGGGCAATAAACCAATAAAATAAGTCTTAAGCTATTTAGGATAAACAATTGTAGTTTTATTTTACAACCCGGAGTCATTTTAAAAAGAAAAAGGCTAATTTAGATTTATTTCATATCTTTTTATGGTGGTTACAAGGTCAGCCAAATTTACTGAGTCTGTATAGAGTTAGGGTAGAGAAAGTAACAGAAAATTTAAAGTTTTACTGAAAAAAAATTTGATATTTATTTAAGAGGTTTTACAGGTTATGCAAACGAAATGTGAAAATTTTCCAGATGAAGTAAAGTATTTTTAATCTTAACATGAAAATCACTTTGCACTCAGATCAGTCAACACTCTTAACTCCATATACTCATGGACAAATCTTTACTAAAAATACTTGATTAAAAAATCTGATTTTTTGTGTACAAGAGACTCGTAATGTTTACTGAAAGCTTGCCAAATTTCATGAAGATATACAAAACATATTAAAAGTTATAGTATGGAAATTCTGATGGTTAGTTTGTGGTTAAAAGGTCAGTCAGATCAACTGAGCCTGTATGGAAATTCACTTTTTATATTATTCAAGATTTAACTTCTTAATTTCAAAAGAAAATATTTAAGTACATTTTTATTTTTCATCAAGCTATGTTATGTTACCATCTGTGTTCTGAATTCTCCTTGGTAAATTTTCTTTCTTTCCTTATATATAGGCTTTAGTGTGTCCTCTAATTAGATACACCAACTACAGATATTGACAGGCTAAAATATAAAATAAAAACATTTTTATTTTCTGAGACATTAATAAATTTATCATACCCATCACAAAATTTCCTTCCTGCTCTTCATGCTTTTGAAATCACATATTTGCTAATGCATAGTTGTCATTGATACCTGTTTATAACTAATACAAAAGCCATTTTATTAACTTTTTTTGTTTTGTTTTCCTAGTGAAAGTTGCTATTTTGAAAGTAGATCTTTGTGTGTAGACTGAAATCAGTGGTCTAAATAGTAATGCAATATTTTTTAACCTATTTATAGCTTAGTTAGAAAGCCAGGTAAATTATAACAGTTTCTAATATACTTGTTGTGTTCCAAAATGCATAGTTTAAAGCTAAATCAATTAATTTTTGGACAATTAATGTAGTTAGAAGAAAAGAGGCTTATGAAAGCAGGCACACAAATGTAAACTAGCTTAAGGATAAGGTTAGTGTTAAGTTTGTTTTATATGTATATTTTTCACTTAATGTTTTTACTAACTTTCTATATTACAAAAGAGAGCTTAAATGACAAAAAATGAAATATTTTTTTTTTATAATAAGTGCTTGAGAAACATGTGTAGTTAGATGTCACATGATGTAATCTGAAACTTTGTTTACCATACACTCTCCCACTTTCACTAGGTGATACATTGCTTCTCACAGTAGCTAGACATACTTAAAAGAGCAATAAAACAATAAAATTAAATGAAAGTAGCTGTGAAAAGTTAAGAGCCTTAAATATCTTACAATAAATAATTAAAACTGTCTGTTACAATCTGCAGTCATTTCCTAAAATAAAAAGTATTTTTTATTATATTTTGTATTTCTATCTTTGGCTACAGTTGATGTTAGGGTACAGAAAACAAGAGATAAAGTAAAAAGTTTTACTGTGAGAAAACTAAGATGAAAATAAACATTTCTATTCGTAGCATGAAAATCACCGTTTACTCAGACTGACTCAGTAAAGGTTTCATAAATTCAAAACATACTCTATATTAAAAAAAATATTTTTTTGTGCACAACAGACTTGTGATGTTTACTGAACATTTGCCAAATTTGGTGTAGGTGCATTTAGTACATTTTAAGAGTTATAGTATATATAGTTTCATAGTGGTTACAAGGCTGGTCAAAATATCCAAGCCCAAATACAGAGAGTTAATGATACACTCTCTTTCTGTGGCTGCAACAGTAGAATTGCTATGTTTTAGCATACCCAGTCAAGGTATACTGGTCTTTGTACATGCAAATTTTTGTCAATACCACATTTCTTATCTTAACCTTTACGATAAGTTAATAATGCTTGTGACCCTGAAGCTTAAACATTTAACTACTGAGTTAAATAAAAAGAACGCATCAATTTTTATTTGCCACTTTTTGTAAAAGTTAAAATACACTTCAAGCAACTATTCTGTCACTTAACTATCATCTCTGCTCCTTATTTTAAACATTTGAATAAACTTCTCAAGTTATAGTACAAAATGTAATAAAAATATACACCACTGTTACTAACCTAAAAATACAATATCATCTAGCAAAATACAACATAGAAATTTAAAGCCTAATTTTTGAACGCATTACAGATTTTACCTTTCCAAATATATAATTAAATAAATTATGTAGTTTCTTTATATTTCTTAAAACTAAACCCAAATTGGTAACTGGCTTTAATAGTTAAAAAAAATAACAACTATAGCTTTCATACATTTTTTACTGTAAAAGTTCAATGCAAAGACCAGGTGGTCTAGCCATGAAATATGAGGTAGGGTTCTTCATTTTTCAGTTATTACTTACTAATCTGCACTACTCAAGGCAAACAGAATAATGTAGATATTTGTCCCTGGGTGCTAAGTTTAAAGACTGATAGATTGAAAAACAAATAAATCACCAGAGCCAAACATGGTTTTCTCAGAGTTTTATGAGAGGTTAGATATTAGAATTTTTGTAAGCTGGTATGTGGTACGTAAACATGCATATTCCTCCTTCTTATTTTAACATAGTATTATTAGAAATTAGTCAATTATTCTAGTATGTACAGTCTTCACATAACACATTGTCAAGAAAGTCGTCTACTTCATTTCTCTCTAGCTGCCTTTGTTCCTGTTATTCTCTGTAGACAACACTTGTTCTTCCCAGGGTGGTTTGGCTGTAAAGCTGCATATTGTACAAGAATGTAGACAGCAGTTTCCTTCAACAGTAAATCAAGTGATATCTTAAGGTTAAAACATCCTTTAAGTTTGAATAAGAATGACAAGTCATGTGGGTAACAATAGTCGTTCTGGATAAACCTGACATTACTTATTAAGATTTACAAAGTCTGATATAAAATGTAGAAGAATATAGTCAAGTTACAATACAGCAGAAATGACAATCCAGTATCTAAGCAAGTATGCACACTCTCACACACACACACACAGTGTTTGGGATATTAATAAAGACTGTTCATTATATTTTAAATTGTGTCTAATCTCTTTATTTTGATCTCTTAA